CTCGCGGGCCATCATGGAGCAGGTAGAGACAGCGTGCCAGTTAGGACGGAAGTTCATCAGGACGTAGTCCTCCCACTCCTCAACAGTGGCATCCTGGGACAGGTTGTCGCCGGGGATGGTCTCGCCAGCGTAGTACTTCTTCATCTCACCGGCGCTGGAGAGCTCACGACCCAGCTTGGTGGCAGCTGCCTGCCCGAGAAGATCCAGCTCGTTCATGAAGAACTTGGGGTCATTGGCGTATTGCCAGAGGTAAGGGTCACTGCTGAGAATGTGGACGGAACCACGAGTGAAGGGGATAAGGTTCCAGATATCGAAGTTGATCTTGCCCTCAGTGTCGAAGAAGAGCTCGGCGAAAGCAACATCCTCATCAAGGAGCCAGTTACGGTAGTTCTCGTACTGGATCTTGAGGGCAGTCACGTTGTGGAAACCACCGCGGGCAACGGTCTCCTCAGCCCACTGGTCAAGCTTGGTGTTCAGCAGCTCAATACCCTGGGCGGCGTGGTCACCGAGAACCTCTGTGAAGTTGGCGAAGTAAGCGGCCTGACCTTGTCCAGGTGCGTTGTTGGCGCGGGAGCGAACAGTGGTAGTGGTTTGGTCTTGCATGTTGAGACCAACAGGGAGTTCGAGGATCTGCTTAACGCCGGCCTTGTCAAGGACAGACTTGGTACCAATACCGGAGTACTCGAGGATCAAAGGAGAAATGGCAGATCCGGCGGCCAACAGAACTTCCTGCTTGGCGTAGACATTGAAGTTAACAGCCTTGTTGGTACCGAAGTTCACACCAACAGCCTTAGGGCCAGAGGCGGTCTGGTTGAACAGAACCTTTCCAACCTTCTGGCCAGTCAGGATCTGCAGGTTAGGGCGCTCGTAGTTGGGAAGAAGCCATTCGCGAGCGGCATCAGCCCGGATCTGGTTCTCGTGGAGGTTGTTCGGGATCATGGAGACACCACGGGGGTGACCGCAGTGGAAATCCTTCTGGATGGGGACACCGAAAGCGGAGACGGTGTTCATGAGGGCTCGCATCAGTGGGGACCAAGGCTTGCCGTTGTCGCGAGGGCCGGCATGGACGGTACCGTTTGTTCCATGGCAGGCAGGCTCGTAGAAGTGACCAGCCTCGATCTGGGCGGCAGTGGGGGGGCGCGAGCGCTCAGCCTTCTTCATGTACTCGAACACGTTGTCCCAGTTCCAGCCTTCCATACCGAAGACCTTTTCCCATGAGTCAATCTGGACCTTGTCAGGACGGGTCCAGGAATCACCGTTGATCAAGGTTGAGCCACCAAGACCGAGACCAGACTTGATTTCTCCAGTTCGGTTGTTGATGAGGGGAACTGTGAGATAATTCTGATCCACAGTAGTTCCAAAGATCTCACCATAGGCGTTGGGGTCCTGGATGATCGGTCCATCGTTGGATTCGTAGAATCCCTTCTCAATCACGAGGACTTTGATCTTCGGGTTCTCGGTCAGCTTGGCAGCCACGGTCAGACCAGTCAAACCACCACCAGCAATCACATAGTCGTAAGTCTTTCCCTCAACCTTTTTGGGGTCGGAAAATAGGTGAGACTGGACGTCGAGCTGCTCGGCCGGGGTATAAGCCTGGACGGCAGCCATAGACAAAAGAATGGAAGTGATAATAGTAGACTTCATGATGAGGAACAATGGCCCCGGGGGTCAATGTACATAGGAATGAAAGGAAAGGAATGAGTTGGTGTTCATAAAACGACGATCGGAAGCATCAAATATATATGTTCGAAAGAATCGCGTCTTCTGTTTCGGAACTATACCAATACCGAACTTTGAATGGTTGAATAAAACCCATAGAGGGCTCCACGAGCCCGCATAAAACACGTGGGATGCTGCAATAGGAGTGAGCTATCAATCTTCAGTTCCAAAGAATGAAATAATCTACCGGCTGATCTGCATGTTCTGCACATCTTGGCAGCATGGTGCCTTGGACCGGTCAAACTATATTCATCCTAACTTTCATGCACCGGTGTCCTATCTGGGAGAAATAACAAATAACCGACCTCGTGGGTGTACCTGTGCTAATAGCAGACATTACCTTCTCTGAGTGGCGGGGCCTTCAACAGCCCAGTGAGAAATCGAATCCTTCTGCTCTCTTTCTGTGGATATCGTTAAGATGGATACGAGGAAGTGGGTCTTCCTGACCTTCTAAGGTCAGCAGTAGATTACCATGCCAATTCATACTATGCCCAGGTACGGAGTTCCAGGGATTGAACTACATTAGTCGTGTTGTATGTAAATCTCGAATCGGAGGTCTGAACTGGAACTAGGCGTGATAGTATATGGACTGTATAATTATTGATTTCAGTATATCAAGAGTAGACTTTTGAAACGCCATAGAACTGCAATTTCCTTCTGAGAACCTTGTTAACTAAAACAGCGAAGGCAACTTCTAACCTTGGAAGTCATGTAATATAATTCATGAAGCATAATTGATAAGGAATGTCCGAAAATAGACCGAAGATGAAAGTCTCGCCCATGAATGCTTCGTAATTCGAAGGTATTCTCCGGGCTAGGCCTCGATCTGGGTCTCTGTTTGTTACTAATCGGCATCGTATTTGATTGAGTTCATTTCGGCATGCCGAGAAGCACGAATGTCGTCAGAAACTCAAAACTGCATTGGCGCCAAGAGTGGAAACTCGCTTCCGGGAACCTTGTGCGCCATGTGCGCGATAAGAGACATACCCTATCAAGTTTACATTGCCTCAAACAATAGGAATAATCGTGCCAAGCCCACCAACACCTACTACCTGGTGTTGATGGGCTTGGCACGATTACAAGGGGGAATTATACGTCTAAGATGAGTGAGTGGAACGGTGGCGAATTCGTTGATTCCCATATTGTTAGGGATAGAAAAACTGTCAACCTCCTCCATCTCTTCATTCTCAAGCCTTGCCATCCCAGAGCAGAAGAGCAGAAGAAACAGATCCAATGAAGACGATTTCTCTATTTTTTGCAGCCTCCCTATTGGGGCATGCTGCCCTTGCTACAAGGCTTTATGCGGCATCGTATGCTGGTCTTGTCACCTCATTGGACCTTTCCAAGTCCAATGAGCTATCTACACTCTCCCAGACCACTGAGTGCGGTGGCAGCCCCTCTTGGTTGATGTTGGATAGTCCCAATGGTGTCTTGTACTGCCTCGACGAAGCAATCAATGCTCCCAATGGCACTATCACCACCCTGAAAACTCATCAGGATGGGACACTCACCAAGCTTGCGCAACTGAAAACCCCCGCTGGCCCTGTCATGTCTGCCATGTACTCGGCACCTGGGGTCTTGGAACGCAAGTTCCTTGCTGTGGCACACTAGTAAGTTTCGATCGAATCTCTAGAGATAGTTGCATGCCATGTGGTACGAGCTGCTGACTTTGTTCTGGCATTATAGCTCAGGATCCTCTGTCACGACGTATTCTGCGGACCCTGTCCTCGGACTTTTCAAGCATGAACAAACCTTCACATACCAGATGGCCGCTCCTGGTCCGGTCGCCGCTCGCCAAGATGCTCCCCATCCCCATGGAGTAGTTGTCGACCCCACCGGACGGTTTATCCTTGTACCCGACCTTGGAGCTGATGTCGTCCGCGTCTTCTATGTCAACCCATCGACAGGTCTTCTTGAGCAGATCGAGCCACTGGCCCTGAACCCAGGATCTGGACCCAGACATGGCGCATTTTGGACACCCCGCGGATCGAACAGCACATCTTCAGACGTCTACTTTTACCTTGTGCAGGAGCTGAGCAACGAGTTGAGTGGTTTCCGGGTCAAATATTCAGGCAACGGAATTTCCTTCCGCAAAATCTACGAGGGAGGCACTTATGGCAAGGAATCTTCTCCCGCTGGCACCAAGGCCGCAGAAATTGCAATTTCGGTAAGTCTCGGGTGTTGCACTGAGATATTGTCCAAAGTGATTCTTCGGCTAACATGGTCTTGCCCCAAAGCCTGAAAACAACCGTATCATCGTCTCCAACCGTCTTGATAACACATTCGGCCCGAAGGAAGACTCCTTCGCCGTGTTCCTCTGCGCTGACCCTAGTGGAAAAGAGGCCGAGAAGGTTTCCTTCCTTGGGTTGTACCCAGCCTATGGCTCCTCCCCTCGCCACTTCAGCATCGCACCTACCCAGACTATGGTTGCGGTGGCATTGGAAAGCAGCCAAAGTGTTGCCGTGGCTCAGTGGAGTAAGCGCTCCGGGGCTCCTGGAACCCTTCTCGCAGGAAAGAAGCTGGATGGAGAAATTCCGTCTGTTGTCTGGGATCTCTAAATTGCCTGTCGGGGGGCTTTTCATGGGGCCCGTTCCGTTCTGAGTTGAGTTACTGAAATTTTGTAAGAAATGCTACTTTAATGTATTTTATATTTATGGCTGGCAGCATACGTATTAGGATCTGTGTTTTGTGACAGAAATAAGTGACCAGTATTGTATGGGTAGTATGGGTACCATTGTAATTAATATTGGAACTCGCCAACTACACACCATGAAATCGATAATAGGTTTGTAGGACATGTCGACAAAAAACAATATGTACTTTTATGTGAGGTGTCTGATACCGATATTCTAAGACATTTTCCGGTAAATACGCAGAAATCTATATTTGTGTCGCTGATAAAAATTCCGGAATCGCACTAATTATATCGTAGAGAGGAGGACTAGGAATAGGTAAATTAACGATTAATCTGAAGTACCTAAGAGATATTCTAACACGATCCAGCACCATGCAACCATTATAACTGCAATACGCAACTTGAAGGCAAATGGCAACGACTGGCCCCGGCGAGGCACTAGGCTTCAAGTGCTATCCTTGTTATAGTAGTAACATGTGGATACCTCAAGCAGTAATAGCAAATCGTGACAGGATGTTAGCATCCAAAGGGGGGTGTCTGTATCAGTCCCCTAGATAAATCACAGACATGAATTTACGACAGAATATAAAACAAGGATATCAATTGAGGCTTATGATAAGCCCGTCTTGGATCAATGATGACTGTGTCAAAGCTTGCTAGTATAAGTCGCTGTCTGCGGTATGCCAAACTTGGAAAGATCCTCTGTACTCTTCCCATCAACAGCCAACTCCGCCAGAACACGACCGAAGGCCAGTGCGAATTTGAAAGCATGAGCAGCTCCAAGGCCAACGATTATATCCCGATGCTTTTCCAGGGGACTGATAACGAACTGTCGATCTGGCGTAATGGTGTACCGACAAGTGACGGTTCGAAGTGGCTGGCGGCCATTGTCTGGCATGACTTTGCTCATAAATGAATTAAGCTGCTCGAGCAACTGGGGGGAGTGTACATAGGTACGCTGCTCAGGTGTCATGAACATCTCTCAGTAAACATCTCTCAGTAAACACCTATCATCATCATCGTCTGTGTTGTTTTCTTGAAAGAAGCAAAATCTGCACACAGCAGCCTCAGCTCACTCCTGCACACCACGGCCAGAGCCAGACTCCAGATCCCCATGCCCCCGACTGACGCTCCCCCGATGTCTATGCCCGGGGAAGCGGTGTCGGGCGGAAGACGCCTCACTGTGTCCGCTGCGAACACTGCGGCTATCAGCAGAGGTTCGTCCATCTTGTGAGGCAATCCCTTCTTCCTCGGCGATTTCCTGCATCCGGCGCTCATCAGCGTGCTGATTTGCGGAGCGGACAATCTTGTCCCTGTGGACGGCGATACCCCGGTCCTCGAAGACGTCACCCAGTATATCGTTGGAGGAGAGATCCGACATGCCGAGCGAGAAGTCGACGTGTTTATTGTTGTGCGTGGATTCGCCGCGGGACCGTTCTATGCCTCTGCGGAGGATGGAGTGGCGCTGTTGGACGCCGCTGCTGGAGCCGGTGTTCTCGGGAATGTTGTGGGAGCTTTTGCCGATGGGGACTTGTTCGGGTTCAGCTCCGACTGCGGCTCCTTCGTCGGGCGCGTGGTGTTGGTAGGTACATGGTGCACCCGTGGGCGGACCAGCATAAGCGACGTGGAATGGCGTGTTGACATTGTAGCCCTGGAGGTTCATGCGAGGGCCCTCGATGCCGACTTCTTGGAGCGCGATCATGAGCATGCAGAGGAACTTGTTGCGGCGCTGCAGACGCAGGCCCTCGTTCTGCCAGTTGGATTTGTAGAAGAAGACGACGTTAAGGGTCAGGGATAAGTTTTCTGTGACCTCGCGGAGCTCGTGGAGGATCATACTCTGGAAATCGCGCCTCTCGCTGCGCACGAACTCTACGAGGCGGTGGCGGAGTCGCTCCATCTGGTCGACGGTTGTGCCGTACTTGATAACAATTGGCAGGGCCTCGGCGAGAGCACCTGTGCGGCGCTGGTTGAGGATAAAAAGATTGTTGAGGACACTATTTGGTGCTTGGACGATGTGGCCCTCCATCTTCTTAAACTCGGTATATAGGAGCGCGATCTCCTTGACGAAGTAGTCGTCACCAAGGCCTGAGGCCCCGGAATTACCGTAGATGGTAACTCGGTCACCAACATCAAATGGGTGTTTAACGAAGACGAAAATGATAGACTGTAAGAACTCGGTGGCAGTTGTAGAGAACATCCATGATAGAGCGAGGATGGTAGAACCAGCAGAGGTCAGCACTCCCGCTGCGGACGTTGAGATCAGCGTGAGGAAGACAATGATAATGATAATAAAGACAAAGAACATGAAAACTTGATCCAGTTTTGACACAACAGAGTCAAGGTCCTTCAGTGATGCAGTGATAGACTTGCGCTCACGGCCAATATCCACACAGACACCTTCAAGCTCTTCCATAGAGATATCCCCATTCATATCCCGGTCAAACATGGAGAAGGCAGCCTCTGCCTCCTCATTGTCATCATAGGCCTCCTTCAGGTCCCCCGAGAAGACCGTGTCAAAGCCATCACGCGCGAACGTACGATAGAGACGGCGCGCGAGGACCTGGCAGCCCGAGGTGGTGCGCAGCAAGGCAAGAACGACCTGGTATGGATCACTGCTATTCTTCGTCTGCCGGCCGGTGAAATCCGCAAGCACGCCC